CTTTTTTGAGTTTTTTGTTTGTTGGTTTGTCTCTTTTTTAACAGTTACTCAAGGCAAGAGTTAATTCTATTTGTGTTCATTACATCAAACTCTAAAGACCATGAGATGTCTAAATAATTCTAAGGCCCAATGAAGGAGGTTACAGGGAGCTCTGATTTCAGTGTAAGAAATACTTTTCTGAAACCAGAGTGGTCTAATAATAGACTGAGTTGCCTTGTGGAGAACGATTCCCCTGAATGTACTACTCACATAGTAGCTGGAACACCATCTGTCTGGGATGTATAGAGTAAGATTCCTGAATTAGGAGGACTCAGGATGGCCCATAAAACCCTTTCAACTACAGAATTCCTTATCCCAAAGTCACGGAAAAAAAGCATAATGCAAGGCGGGAAGAGGATTTGTTTCTGAGAAAATAAATGAAATTCTAGTGTTCGGATTATTTTACCTTTCAGTCACTCCCCAGGGATTTATGTTACTAAACGTGCAAATCCCAAAATGAATGTGGGTGAGTCCTCTTTAAAGAGAGCCCATTGCAGCATATAAAAACCTGAACTTCTCAAGAAGATTAATTACAGGGTTGATTGTTTGCATTTTAAAAGGATTATTGACTTTGTAACTCATTCGCACTTTTTCAGAGTTGCTTTGGGCATATAAGTATTGACTTACAGGTCATTAGCCTGTAACTAAGAAGCAGCACCGGCAGTTGAAAAACATGGCCTTAGTGATAGAAATGCCACTACTGATCCCATGATAGAATTTTGCAAGACCAATGGCTTACTCATTGCAAGTGGCTTTTTTTCTTTTGAAATACTGGTGGCATGGCTTCCAGCATCATAACAACATGCAAAATCACCGTAATATGAAAATATTAAAAAAAACAAACTCACTGCCATGGAGTCAGATCCGACTCATAGCAACCCCTCCTTGGGTTTCCGAGGTGGTATCACTACAGAAGTAGGTTGCCCAATCTTCCTTCCAGGCTTTAATATAGGCGTTAATTTAATGTAGGCATTAAATGTTAGACACAGGCTGATATAGACTGTCACTGTTAGAGAAGCCTGCTGTAAAGATGAGTCTTTCTTTTTTCTTTTTTTTAAATTTTTCATTGTGATTTGGGTGAAAGTTTACAGAGCAAATTCATTTTCCGTATAGCAATTCATATACATTTTGTTTCATGACACTGACTGCAATCTAACAGCTTTCTTCCCACTTCCTCCCTGTAGTTAACTCTTCCCAGTGTCCTTCTTTCCTATGCATTCCTGCCCCTGAGCTATCTCCCTGTGCAAATACTACCCTTCTATTCTATGATTAATGGTTCTAAGGAGTTCTAAGGAGTTTCTACCTGAGGTAAGTGTTCACCCTATATGCCTGTCTGTTATTTGGCTGGAAGCCATAGGAGTGAGTTCAATTCCAGATCTGAATGGTCTAGTGACCAAGAGTCTCAGGGGTCTCACCAGGCTCTATTAGACCAGTAAACCTGGTCTATTTTTTTTTTTTTTTTTAAAGTGATTTTGAGTTTTGTTCCACTTTGTTCTCCTGCTCTATCCAGGGTCTCTTGCACTGATTCCTTTCCAAGTGGTTGATGGTGTTAGCCGGGCAGCATCTGGTTCTGGTTTTCTGGTCATGTAGGCTGAGGTTCACATGTTCCACCAGTCCTTTGGACTAATTGTTTCCATGTGTCTTTGCTTTTCTTCATTCTTCTTTGCTCTGGATGAGGAGAGACCCATTGTGTCATTTAGATGGCCACTTGCTTGCAAGCTTTTAAGAACCTAGTCGCTACTCAGCAAAGTAGGATGTAGAACAATATTTTTGTGTAGTATGTTCTGCCGGTTGAGCTTGATGTCTCCTTTGACCAGAGTCCTGAGCACAAATGCCTTTTTTCAACAACATAAACTGTGCTCATATACATGGACCTCACCAGATGATACAAAAGAATCAAATAGACTACATCTGTGGAAAGAGACAATTGTGAAGTTCAATATCATCAGTCAGAACAAGGCCAAGGCTAACTGTGTAACAGGCCAACTATTGCTCATATGCAAGTTTAAGTCTGAGCTGAAGAAAATTAAAACAAATCCATGTGAGCCAAAATATAACCTTGAGTGTATCCCACCTGAATTTAGAGACCATCTCAAGAATAGATTTGACACATTGAACACCAGTGACCGAAGACCAGATGAGTTGTGGCATGAAATCAAGAACATTATACCTGAGGAAAGCAAAAGTCATTAAAAAGAAAGAAAAGGCCAAAATGGGTGTCAGAAGAGACTCTGAAACTTGCTCTTGAATGGAGAGTGGCTAAAGCCAATGGAAGAAATGATGTTCCATTGATAGAACAGCCGAACAGAAGATTTCAAAGGGTGGCTTGAGAAGACAAAGTAAAGCATTACAATGAAATGTGCAAAGACCTGGAGTTAGAAAATCAACAGGGAAGAACATGCTCAGCATTTCTCAAGCTGAAAGAACTGAAGGAAAAATTCAAGCCTTGAGTTGCAATATTGCAGGATTCTATGGGCAAAATGGGAGCTCTGGTGGCATGGTGCCTAAGGCACTTGACTGGTAACCAGAAGGCTGGGGGTTCAAACCTACCAGCCACTCTTTGGAAAGGAGGTTGGGCAACCTACTTCCGTAGTAATAGTGATACTGCCTCGGCAACCCAAGGAGGGGTCACTATGAGTCGGGTCTGACTCAACGGCACATAACAAAACAACAACAACAACATTGCAAAGAATGGGAATCCCAGAACATTAAACTGTGCTCATGAAGAACCTGTACGTACACCAGGAGGCAATCATTTGAACAGAACAAGGGGAGCCTGTGTGGTTTAAAATCAGGAAAGGTATGCATCAGGGTTGTATCCTTTCACTATACTTATTCAATCTGTATGCTGAACAAATAATCTGTGAAGCTGGACTATATGAAGATTCATTAACAATCTGCAATATGCAGATGACACTATCTTGCTTGCTAAAAGTGAAGAAGACTTGAAGCACTTACTGATGAAGATCAAAGATGACAGCTTTCAGTATGGATTACACCTCGACATAAAGAAAACAAAAATCCTCACAACTAGACCAATAAGCAACATCATGAAAAACGGCAAAAAGATTGACATCAAGGATTTTGTTTTACTTGGATCCACATCAACACCCATGGAAGAAGCAGTCAAGAAATCAGATGTCCTGTTGCACTGGGCAAATCTGCTACAAAAGACTTAAAGTATTAAAGAGCAAAGATGTCACTTTGAAGCCTAAGGTGTGCGTGACCCAAGCCATTGTCATTTTAATAGCCTTATAGGCATGTGAAAGCTGGACGATGAATAAGGAACAAAGAATTGATGCCTTTGAATTGTAGTGTTTGGCAAAGAATATTGAATATAGAAAGGACTAGCCAGAAGGAGGTAGCTTTGGTAGCTTAGTGCCTAAGGCACTTGACTACTAACCAGAAGGCTGGCAGTTCAAACCCACCAGCCACACTCTTTGGAGGGAAGATGGGGCAATCTACTTCCGTGGTGATGTTGTTTTTGTTATGTGCCGTCGAGTCGGACCCGACTCATAGCAACCCCTCTTTGGGTTTCTAGCTATAATTTCTTTTTTTCAATTAATGTTTTATTGTGTTATTTATTTAAACTACAATTTCTTGACTGCTGTGATGGGGCCAGCATTTCAGGAACATCATTTCATGTGATCCTCCCATGACCTTCTAAGAAGACAAGACATCTCGCTCTATGGGTAAGGCAACTGCACCTCATGAACCCCAAATTCAAGTCCCAATCCTTCTGATTCTTTCCTTCATGCCACGTTGTCTCCATCCTCCGTCTTAGAACAGAAATGCTCACTGACAGCTCTAAGACCACATCTCTTTGGGCTAACCAGTGTTTGTGCATAGAATGTTTTCAATATGTTTCATTGCCAATGTTTAAAAATCACATTTCCCGTAGAATCTGGATGTCCCGTCAGTCCTGAAGAGTCAGAAGGTCTGGCAGCCCTGCCCTGCGGTCTTGAATGACAAGGTGGCGAGGTCCCCCCTGAGCTGGAGCCTCTGTTCTTGTGCTCGCCCTGGTCCGCACCCTCCATGTTGTGTGTGTCACAAGGAGCCTGAGTATCAGTTGTGATTACGGTATTCCCATCCCACCAGCCCTCGTTACTTATGTAGTCATCTGTCTGGCACCTGCTGGCCCTGAACTTGAAACTCTTCCACTTGCCTTGCCCTAACTCGATCCCAAACGCTCTGGTTCTATTCTCCTCAAATGCATTTTTGCAGTTTTTCCCGAGTGGAGCAAAGGTTAGCATGCTTCGCTGCTAACTGAATGGTTGGAGATTCTTGTCCACCCTGGGGTGCCTTGGGAGAAAGGCCTGGCAATCTTCTTCCAAAAAAAACAGCCATTGAAAACCCTAAGGAGCATGGTTCTAAACTGACATGCATGGGGTCACCACGAGTGAGAACTGACTCCATGCAACTGGTGTTCCCATTTCTCAAGAGGAGTTGTGCATTACCTTAGAATCTCTGCCCAGCAGTCATTCTGTTTGCTCTCACTGTTTCCTCACAGCTTTACAGGCACAGGGCAGGGCATTTTGCTTCAGCACTTAATAGCCTGTCTTGCTTTCATTTCTTCCCCTGCTTGGGGGGCCTAGGTGTTGGCAGGGGAGGGAGAAAGGTCTTCAAGTACTTTGTGGGGGTAGCCCTGGCCTGTGACTGCCCAGCAAGTTGGGACCCTGGACTTGGGGGTGGACTTAGTATGCGGTAGAGAGGAGTGAACCTATCAGCTTGTTCTGGCCCAGGAAGGGCTAGGTCAGTGATGTTTCAACCACCCTGGTTCCCAAGAGACCTTCAGGTACCTTCCCAACCCACCCCTCGCCCTGTACTGCCCCCCATTACAGAATGACGCCTGCTCAAACAATATGATGCAACTTTATTTTATTAGGAAAAGGGCAGAGGGCAGGTGGAGGGACTCTCTAGGGGACACAGGGAGGTCTGGGGAGGGTAACAGACGGCAGCAGCTAGAAGGCACAGCTGCTCTCCACGAAGCGGCGACACTTCATGACACGCAGGTAGGTCTCCGCCTTGTGCAGATCCTTCTTGAAGCAGGACAGGAGCCCGTAGTTCTTGAGCAGAGCGTCATCACTGCGCAAGTTCGTGTCAAACTTGTCATAGGTTTGCTTGAGGATCTGCCCGTTGCGGGGACTGCCATCTTCCAGCTCCTGCCAAGTGCAAAGGAGAGAAGGAGAGGCTTTGGGGGGCTGGCCCCTCCCTTCCCCCTCCAGCCTTCCCCATCTCCGGGGCTTAGGGGGAAAGGATTCAGGGCCAAACAGAGAAATGGGGGTGGAAGAGAAGATGAGTTCTTCTAGGTCAAGGCCAGACAGTGAGGAGACCAGCATGAATTCCCTCTCCTGCCCCAGTTACGCTCCCCCACCCTCAGCTAAGCCAGTGGGGACCCAGGGCTGGGACCCACAGCCGCCCTCACCTGCATCAGGGCCTGTATGCCTTCCTCCAGGTCCTTCAGCTTCTCGTAGACGCGGTCCGAGGTGCCAAACACCAGGCTGTTGGTGAAGACTCTGCTGAGAAACTGCACTGGGCCGAGCCAGGACTGGATGAGCAGCAGTGAGAAGCGCAGAAGTTCCATGTCCTGTAGGCAGAGGGCCAGGCTAGGGACACCTGGGTGCGGCGCGCGGGGCCAGGTGGGGACACTGGGGACGAGGGAGCCACTTCTCAGAGAGAGGGGGGCCACTCACGGATCTCTGCTGAGCCTCGTCCTTGCCTGTGGGGGCCGGGATGGTCTCGGAGAAGCAGAAGGCAGCCTGGGCGTTCTGGATGGAGTACCTCTGCCCCTCAGGGATGTAGGCCCGCTCCTGGGGAAGAGACCCCGGCCAGGTCCAAACGAGGGCACGGCTCCCATCATTATTTTACAGATTGCCCTTGGTTTGTCCTCATCAGACAACACCTCCACTTGGATGTTTAAATAACCCTAAACATGTCAGTTTCGTCCCAGTCCAAGGCCCGCGGAGATTCAGCCCTTTCTGTCCACTGCCCACCCGGTGCCTAGGCCTTGGGGGCTTACAAACTCCTTGTAGGTGTCAGCAGCCAGCTGGTGCAGGTGCTGGGCCCGGAGCACGGCGTTGGCAAACAGGCTGGACAAGGGCATGGCGGGAAAGGCGCCCACTTCCGGAGGCCAGGACTGGCAGAGCAGGGTGAAGGCCAGGAGCACAGAGGTCCGGGTGCCTGGGAAGGGACATGAGGGCCAGGGAGGGCTGCAGAGCAAGAGGCCGAGGTACCTGCCAGCTCTCTCCATGCCCCAGCGGCTTTTCTGTTCTCCTCCTCTACCTCCCAGGGAAGGAGAACGTTTTAAACCTGACCAGGTGTCTGAGTGGAGATGCCCGTCCTCATGTCCAGTAGCCCCAAACCCCAAAGTTAGTGCCCCAAGCCTACCTGCAGGGCCCACCATCTCCCCTCAGTACAGCCCAAGCCCAAGGGCTTTCTTGGGGTGCTTACCTGCAGCCATGGCAGCTGGGTGAGCTATCTGGGGAGTTGGGTCCTGGGATCCTGGCATCGGTCCCTCGTGGGCTCTTTTTATACCCTGCTCCCTTCTCTCTCTGCCCCTGCCCCCACCTGTTTTCTCTATACATTTATGTATGGGGCCACGGAAGGGCCTGTGCTGATGGATTATTTAGAACCTCCTCCCACTTGTCCTGTTCTAGCTCCTCTCCTGGGGTCATGTCCCCTGGGCTTGTCATCTTCCCCTCCCCACTGTCACCAGCCCTGTGAGGCTTGTGTACCTAGCTTGAGAGCACCACCCAATCTGTCCCTTTTTCTAAGGGGGCAGGTAGAAGGTAGTACTGACTTAGTCCAAGGCACTGTAGGACTGTCCACCAGAGGGAGGAAGGCCCAGCCTGGTTCCCCCAGGGGGCGCTATGCTATGACATCTGCTCCTTGAGAGTGGACCCCTTCCCTCCTCTCCATTTCTTTCCTCCTACCTATACGAGTCCCTCCACTCACGAGAGAGAATGTGTGTATTGGGAAAGGGGACAAGAACAGCAATAGATTCTGCAGTTCTGAGCACAGCCCCAACCCAGCCTCTACCTCCTGCCCCTGTCATATCTATTCTACCATCTCCGTGCCCCCACCATTCTACCACCTGTCCGGCCTGGGGCAGCTGGCGGCAGTACTGATACCGACCACTGTTGTTGTTGTTAGGTGCTGTCGAATCAGTTCTGACTCATAGCGACCCTACGTACAACAGAACGAACCCCTGCCTGGTACTGCATCATCCTTACAACTGTCACTGTGTTTGAGCTCATTGTTGCAGCCACTGTGTCGGTCCATCTCACGAGAGTTGTCTTCTTTCCCACTCACCCTCTGCTTTACCAAGTATGATGTCCTTCTCCAGGGACTGGGGCCCCCGATAACAGGCCCAAAGTGCATGAGATGACATCTCGCCGTCCTTGCTTCCAAGAAGCATTCTGGCTGTCCTTCTTCTAAGACAGGTTCATTCGTTCTTCGGGCAGTCCATGGCATATTTAATATTCTTTGCCAACACCATATTGAAAAGGCATCAATTCTTCACATGCATATGAGGTGGCTGAAAATACCATGGCTTGGGTCAGGTGCACCTTAGTCCTCAAGGTGACATCTTTGCTTTTTAACACTTTAAAGAAGTTTTTTTGTGCAGCAGATTTTCCCCAGTGCAGGACGTGGTTTGAGTTCTTGATTGTTGCTTCCATGGGTGTTGATATTGACCACTAGAGGGCACCATACTTATATACATACCCATTGCTGTGGAGTAGATTCTGATTTATAGCAGCCCTGGTGGTGTAGTGCCTAAGGCTCTTGACTGCTAACCAGAAGGCTGGTGGTTCAAACCCACCAGCCACTCCTCAGAAGGAAGGTTGGGCAATCTACTTCCATAGTGATACCACCTCAGAAACCCAAGGAGGGGTCGCTATGAGTCGAGTCCAACTCTACGGCCCATAACAACAACTGTAGGATAAATTTGAACTGTCTCACAGGGTTTCCAAGGCTGTAATCTTTATAGAAGCAGACTGCCTCATCTTTCTCCCATGGAGTGGCTGGTGATTTTGAACCTTTGACCTTTCAGTTAGCAGTTAACCACTGCATCACCAGGGCTTCTTAGAGGGCACTAACCCTACACAATTCCTTTCCCTCCTCTCCCCCTGTTTCCTCAGGTCACTGGGGGCAAAAGACCAACATTTGGGAATTGTCCTTGTTCCTTGGACCAGCCACAGAGATGCAAACCAAGACTCAGAAACCCCAGGAATCACAAGTTCTTCCTCCCGCCGCCCTGCCACCATTAGAAATAATCTAAAAGTTGGAAAGAGTCCTGGAGGTCTTGAGTCTCTTCTCTGGTGTTGGACCTCAAGGTACAGCACCTGAAAGGTGCTTGGCCCAGTCATTGAAGTCACTTCTTCTTAATCTTCACATTCGTATCAAGCTTATCAGTTTGCAGAGAGCTTGCCTACAATTCTCTCGTTTGACCATCACGACCATCCAGTGAAGGAGGTATTACTATCAGCCATTTAGCAGAGCAAGAGACCGAGGCTCAGAGAGGCTGACTTGTCTGAGCTACCTCAGCCCAGGTGGCAGATCTCCAAAGCTTTCCTTTTCCTTTTACACTATGTTAACATCATCCAAAGTCCACTGGGTTATTTTAATGGAATACGGGAGTCCTGCCCTTGATTACAAGGGTCCCTTTGTTCTCTCATAAGGGGCAGACAGTTTTCCCTAGTTTCCCAAGTGACAGTGGTCCATAGACATGTCGGTGTGCACACGGCAGGACAAGATGAGGCCAAGGAAGGCTTGGACTGCTGCCTTCCACCTTCCTGGTCCCCAGATGTGGGCTATTTCAGCACCTGAGCTCACCAGCATCAAAATGCCCAGGGATCAGAGCAGGAAAGAACACATTCCCCTGTGTTTAAACCTCCCATCCCTTGAGGTGAAGAACATTTAGCATTTGACCCTGTGGGAAAACAAACAAACAAACAAGCAAGCCCTTGTTGAGGCTGTTGGTTGGTTATAGTGTTGGCAAACGACGACTGTTGAAAAGCTACGCCCCTGTGGCCCTGAGTGCTTAGGCCTTGCTACCTCCCTCTTTTAGGACCAGAAGACAGAGCTCCCTTTTCTTCCTGTCATTCCCAAATCATAGTCCAATTGGTGCCTCTGATCTGTTATCTGCTGGGAGTGCTGGGACCTCTGGGAGCTGCTCTCCAGACAGGGCTGTGGAAGGACTAAAGAGGAGTGTCATCAAAGATACAGGCTTAAGGAAGGTGGGACCACATGGATGGTGAAGGTACCCCTCTCCTGTCCTTCTTCCAGCTCTACCAAAGAGGATTCAGACAGGAAGTGGAGGAGGGGCCCTGAGTCCTTCTGTCGGGGTGAAGGGGCACTGTCGTGCAGTTCCCCAACCATGATAGAGGATTTTAGCTAAGGCTGAGGTGTGTGTGTGCACTTTGGACAGGTAAAATCTTCCCCTAGGAGTGAGGACAGCAGGAGTCAGAGTTGGAAACATCTCGATGGGCACATGAGGTGATAAATGGAGAAAATATTTAAGTTGTCCAGGGTTTCATTTTATTTGGGGCCACACCACAGTCAACGCCTATGGAAGCAGCAGTCAAAAACTCAAACAATGTATTGCATTGGGCAAATCTGTTGCAAAAGACCTTTTTAAAGTATTAAAAAGCAAAGATGTCACTTTGAAGATTAAGGTAAGCCTGGCCCAAGCCACAGTATTTTCAATTGCCTCATATGCATGCGAAAGCTGGACAATGAATATGGAAGACTGAAGAAGAATTTATGCATTTGAATTGTGGTGTTGGCAAAGAATAAACAATTTACCATGGACTACTGGAAGAGCAAACAAATCTGTTTTGGAAGAAGTACAATCAGAATTCTCCTTAGAAGCAAGGATGGTGAGACTTTGTCTCGCGTACGTTGGACATGTTATCAGGAGGGACCAGTCTCTGGAAAAGGACATCCTGCTTGGCAGAGGGTCAGCAAAAAAGAGGAAGACCTTCAGCAAGATGGATTGATACAGTGGCTGCAATGGGTTCAAACATGCAATGATTGTGAGGATGGCACAGGACCCAGCAGTGATTCATTCATTTGTATATAAGGTCACTATGAGTCAGAGTCGACTCGATGGCACCTAACAGCAACAAAAGGTGTCCCCTAGGAGTGAGGACAGTGGGGGCCAGAGTTAGGGGCATCTCAATGGCCACATGAGGTAGACACGAGTGAGGTGTGGCCAAGGCTGCCCACCAGGCAGTTACTGGCAAGAACAGGTGGGATCAGCAGGTTGGAGAGTGGACGCCTCCTCTCACCACACCCACTTCTATTGACCCCAGACTGGTTGGTCCAGAGGACTCCGGGGACCCCTGGGGACCTTTAAAAAACATGTTTACAAACTGTTACCAAGGCAACCACCAGAACCCAAAAGAGAAGAACTGAAGAGTACACATGTGTTGGGGTGGAAGTTGGGACTCTTTTGCTCAGCTTGGACTTTTCAGGACCTTTATTGATGGAGACACACCCATAATTCCTTGCTAGTAGACAGATTGGGACCCAATCGCTGCCTCCTCTGGGTTCAGATGTTGCCTCTGAGTGGCAGTGGGGACAGGCTGTGGTTAGCATTTCTGATGTCAGCCTCAATCATCTTGTAGTTTTTAGAGAACACCCCCTTACAGTTTGGGGTCCAGGCATTTCTCTCAGTCTTCCTGGAAGTCCTTTTTATTTCCAGACTTGACCATTCTCTAGGGGTTCTCTGGACAGATGTGCTCTTGGTCCCACAGTGGACTCTCTTAGGTTCGAATCCTTGGGGCTTGAGGCAATCTCCTTTAGCAGAGCCGTACTCGCCCTGGTCTTAGGCACAGCCTCAGACGGCTTGATGACAGCCTTTCTCACTCACCTTGTGGTCCTTCGAGGCCAATGCTTCTTGCCTCTATCTCCTTCTGCTTCCTTGAGGTCAGAGGCTGCCGTCCCACTGGGACACACTCCAGCTCCCTCTTGTTTGCAACATCCTTTACATGCACCATAGCCCAAAGCTGATCACTCAGCTCACTGGGTTAAGGTCTTCAGAGAATATTATACAGGGATCTCAAGGGCTTTTCAGAGGAGGTAGGGGAGGAGATCCAGATTTCTGAGAGTTCACCATGTGCCAAGCACCATACTGGGTCATAGGAGCATGAGCCCCATTTCACAGCAGAAGACACAGGCTCAAGGAGGTAACATCGCTCCCCCAAGGTCTGCCAGCCTCATGATGGCTGTCCCAGGCCCAGAGCCTTCCCATGGCACCAAGCTCCCCAGAACCCTCATCTGTCTGCTAAGGACAGTGGTGTTTCTGGGTGTGGATAGAACTTTCCTTGGTGCAAAGCTAGTGAGGCAGGGCTCAAGTGCTTGTGCAGAAGGTGTTCCATGAAGATGGGGAGATTGAATGCAAGGAACTCCAGCTGCAGAATGAGGCATCCACAGTCAGGGCTTATGAGGTCAAGA